TCGGCACAATGTGCTGAGTGACTTACCCCTTGACCGTATGCAAAATTTGGGCTTAATTTGAAAAAGTTCACCAGCCTAAGAACCCCTATAATAATGAAAAAAGTACTTGGCATAAAAAAAAACGGTTTCTGAAAATTCTCCAAGTACCAGAAAGTCGATTTTCAAAATTTAAAAAAAAAATCATTAAAAATTTGACTTGAGTTTTGAATGTTTTCAGAGACGTTTTTCATGACCGAAAAATACCATTTTGTATCTTCAGATCACCATTTTAAGTCAAGCCTTAATTTTGAAAAGGGCCTATAGACAAAGTTAAGCTTATCTTCAGAAAAATGCCGCTCGGAAAATGTTTGTCCAATCGGTTTGGTACCTTCGGCAATGTTGTAGGGAACTCTGGAACTATTTGAAAAAAAAATGTACCCTAAACAAAATTTCACTATGTTCTTTAATTCAAAATAAAAACTTAAAAACTTTGCCGTTTTTGAAGGCGAGAATTCAAACTTTTGGACTAAGATTGGCCTTTCCAGGAAAGTCAGATGAAATTTCCGGGGAATGTTTGAATTACCTTCTGAAGGTAATGCTTTTGAAAGAAGTTTGAAGAAAGTTCTAAGAAAAGCAAAAAAAAAAAAAAACATCCGGGAAAGTTTCAAGAAAAATGTACTGGGGAAAATTTAAAGAAACTTCCGCAAAGGAGGACATTGAACTTCTCTGAAGCTCGCAAAACGTTCCTGAAGCTAGCGAAACGTCCCTGAAGTTTGCAGTATTTTTCCTAAAGTTTGAAAAATTTATCTGAAGATCGAAGCACGTCTTGAAAGTTTGAAGAATTTTCCTTTAATGAACTTCTCTGAAGGTTGTTGAACTCCCTTTTTCTCTGGAGTTTGCAAGAATTTCCTGGAGTTTGCAGAACTATATTGAAGTTCACAAAATTGTCCTTGACTTCGGAGACCTTCATTGAAATTCGTAGAACTTACATGTTTTCACAAATTTTCTTTGAAGTTCACAAACATATCCTGAAGTTCACAGAACTTCCCTGAAGTTTAAAGATGAGTTCTGATTTTTGTAGAACTATCCTGGAGTCTGGACATTGAAGTTCATACAGTTTTGCTAGAGTTCACAGAACTCTCTTGAAGTCCGTAGAACTTACCAGGAAGACATTGACCTTCTCTGAAGCTCGCAAAACGTCCCTGAAGTTTGCAGTACTTTCCTAAGGTTTGAAGAATTTCTCAGAAGATCGAAGCGCGTCTTGAAAGTTTGCAGAATTTTCCTTCAATGAACTTTTCTGAAGATTGTTGAACTTCCTTTTTCTCAGGGATTTGCAAAAATTTCCTGGAGTTCCCAGAAATTCATTGAAGTTCATCAAATTTTCCTTGACTTCGGAGAACTTCAAGTTCTCACGATTACAGATTCTGCTTGAAGTTAACAAACATATCCGGAAGCTCGCAGAACGCCTCTAAAGTTTGCAGATCTTTACTGAAGTGCAGAGTATCGCTTAAGATCAAAGCAACTGCCTAAAACAATGCAGAACGTCCCCAAAGTTTGAAGCAGTTTCCTGAAAATTCTAACAACCTCTTTGAAGTTCACCGAGCTTCACTTGAGTTTGCAAAACTTCCCTGGAGTTCGCAGAACTTTCCAGATATTTGCCAAATGTCTCTAAAGCTCGCAGTTTCTTGAAGTTTGCAATACGTTCTTTAAGTTCGAAAATGTTCACTGACGTTTACAAAACTGCGCTGAAGTTCGCAGGACGACTTTTCAGCTTGCATAAATTTCTTCGAGTTCACTGTAGTTCACTTCAGTTCCTTGAAGTTCGCTAAATTTCTCTATAGTTCGCAGAACTTCATTGAAAGCTTCTTTAGAAAAAAAGGGAACTGCGTTGAAGCTCTGGCAACTCTGTAGTCACTCAAGGTAAGGACTATCTAAACTCACTGGGCAAGAGTAGGTGAACGGAATTAGAGCACAGCACGGTGCTCTGAAACTAAAAGAAGAACTTTACTAAAGTTTCTTAAAATAAATCAAAGTTCCTATAACTTCAATGAAGTTTCCCAAACTTGTATAAGGTTCCCAGTACTACATAGTTCCCCTTATTATTTTTTTACAAAGCACCCTAAATTTCTTAAAAATTCGCTTCAACTCTACAAAGTTTCCTGAATTTATATTAAATTTCATGAATTTCTTTGGTGTCCTCCGAATATCTAAAAATAATCAAAAACTACAAGGGGTTGTAAGCAATGACGACGTAGGACTACGTGGTCATATATAATAAATCTTATTTTTTTCCTTGATTTGTTTTCCGTCGATCTTGTTTTCCGTGCTGAGCACCAATGCTACCGACACCAGGAAGGCAGCTCCCACACCTGGACCCTACCTATCGACCCATCATCAACTCATGAACCGGGGACCAACGGCTTTACTTCCCTTCCGAAGGAAAGCGTGATCAGAGATGCTATGCCTAAGAACATCCCGGCGGCGCCGACTGGGATTGAACCCAGACCTGCTGGGGTGAGAGGTAATGACGCTTACCGCTACACCACCGGCGCCGCTAGTAAATCTTAGTTGTTAACTGCAGCAGCCAGCAGGAATTTGTGTTTTGTGTAGGAATAGTAATTTGAGACGGGTTCTCTCTGTTTATACTCTTTAGTATGACGCGCTTGACATAGATGGCCCACAGAAATTCACGAAGCGCTACTGATTCCGATCTTTCTGCTTCTATGGATGCTCATGCAGGCTGCAGCTCGCTGCTTGCAGGCAGTTTCTTGTTGTGTACTGATGCCGAAGACCGGACATCACCACACACGATAATTGGAACTGAATCCGATCAGCGATTGAGGTCAGCCTTGATCGCTAGCTGCTTGCGGGAAGCTTTTCGATGTGTACCGGAGAACACCACCACTCACCACGCGGTGATTGAATAAACACCGTTTGATGAGACCGAATGTAATTCAACTTTGAAATCTGTGTTAGGGAAATCGCTTTTTGCATGAAATCGGTGATAATTTTAACTATCATAGCAATAGTTGCACATTCGTGAATTTTTCGATAGTGACATTTTTAAAAATGGTAAGGTCTTATATTTAACAGATGCGTGGGAATATTCCTGATCGATTGGTGATAAAATTATTGAAATTGGTCCAGGGGCAGCTGAGTTATTAACGTCCAAAATCTTTCATAATTTTGTTACATGTTCCATTTTTGGTTTTCACAAAGTGTACCCCCATTTAGAAATCACAGACGTAGTCCTACGTCAAAAGTCTGTGACATTTAAAAAATCTTATTTGGCCAAAGAAAAAAACACTGGATGTCAACGAAATTCGCAAAATTTCTCTAAAATTCACTTAAATTAAAATTCATTAAATAGCCAGGAGGAGCGGCGTAAAACTGAGAGTTATCCATCTAAACAAAAATCCTGAGTACGGCTCTGGTTGTCGGTATAGTAGGCAGAGTGTAGTATTTAATTCTAATTATCATTCCAAACTCAACTTGAATAAAAAATGAATTGATAGTTGAAAAGTACAAGTATAAACAACGATTTCATTTTCAAATTTTCAATCTCATACTTGGTAAATTGTTCGATAAGTTCAGCGTGAAAAGAAATCATAGAGAATCTGTCAAGATTCTGCACTTAAGACTAAAATAAATATTCGAAATGCAGGACATCGAACAAATTTTAAGATTGTATGAAGTCAATGGTTTTCAAAATGTTGAGGCATATTTAAAATTATCATTGTAATATATCAAAGATCAAAGGATAAAACGATTCAACACCATCAGCAAGTTCCCCAAAAGCGCTTCTCCAAAAAAAAACTCCCGACAAATCTCATCACCCCAAATGAATACTCTAAAACTGTACCTTCAATGTCTAAATCGGTACAACCACACAGGTGAGAGTATCTAATATTAAAAATCAAAACCAATTAACCGAACGAAATCGAATTGGCACACCTTCGCCATTGATTGAACGCTTAAACAGACAGCGAAATCCCCGACCGCCCTTCACCTACAACCTGCAGCGTAAAATCAATTTAACCCGTAGGTATCGAAATTCGTTCGTCCACAAGACACATAGTAGAATCTATTAATCGAAATCCCTAAGCCATCGTCGCCATCGCCGCCGGTTGTAGTAGTAGTAGTAGTTGTTGTTGCTGTTGTTGTTGCCTACATCGGGGATCTGTTTTTACACCACCGCTTGCTTGTCGCCAATCGAAAATAGCATCCCCGGTCGCGTGGTGTACTGCGTTATTGTACTCGCTTTCAATTTCGGATCTGCCTACATCGGTCAATAGAAGGAAGCAATTCGAAACACGCGTTTTTCTCGCCCCCACGGCGAGTATTGTCATCCTATTTTATATGCACTTTTCTGACTGGTTTGATTTTTGGTTTCTCTTTTTTTGGATTTACTACGGACTACGAACAAAACCAATCATGGGTTCCAAACAATAGGCCAATGGTTTAGGTAGGTGCGTACAAAATTTACAGTGCTGTAAGGTTACAACCAATGTCCAACTACTTGCGGGAGTGCTACTAATTAGGGTGTAAATAACGAATAATAATATAAATAAGCATTACAACGAAAAAAAAAGCAATGGTAAGCGTACATCAAGAGTTAATAAAAGCGTTTGCAAAAGCTCTACAACTATGGTCTATGAAATAGAGTAAGCAATCATATAAAACACCAAATCACCACCACACACGATCAGAAAGCTGCATGTCTATGGTCTATGCGCGCGTTAAACATTATGCACAGAGAGCTTTCTGGCTTACCTTTTCATCAATATTATCCCTAACGCGGACAGACTTGAAAAGGAGTTATAGAGAAACAATTCAGGTTTGGTTGCTGTTTAGGTAGTAGCTCTACGGGTGTGGTGAGCTACTCTAAGCAACCTTGCTTATCTATTCTCGAGATGCTTTCTCGTTTGGTTTGGTTATTGGAATTTAAGGTTGGTAAACTCAACTCAAAGAAGGATGTAGGTAGGTTAGGGCAAAGAGGAAAACGCAAAATGTGTACTCACCATATCCGCACTCAGACGTGAGTGGACATCTTCGCAGAAGATATCCCACCAGTACTGTAGGAAATTGGCCAGATGCTGGTAGCCACCTGGGATGTGCACTTGTCGGGACTCCGAGTTGAAGTTCTGCAGCCACGGTTTGGCCGTGCCGATGAAGTGCAGAATTTTTGTGTTTTGACCGAATCTAGAAAAAAAACCAACTGTTAGCAACTCAACTAGCAAACCGAACACAACCGGTGTGGTGATACTTACTGCTTAAATGCAGGAAGATACGAGTAGGAAGCAACCGATGAAGTGTTGTAGATGAACGGAAGATGCTTCGCGATGTCCTTTTGCGCCCAGTCGGAGAAGTACGAATTCAGCAGACCCTGATCGCCTCCGTCGAAGCTACCATTGGTCACGGCGTACTGCATCAAACTGGAGAACGTTTCCAGCGATGGCCGGTACACGTACACGCCGGAGTTGAAGCAATCGGGCCATCCTACGTCCGGGGCGGCGGACAATTCTTCCCGTTCGAACAGTTCATCGCAGTTGCGCAGGACCAGCGTGTCGGCGTCCAGGAAGACACACTTTTCGAACTGCGTCAGGCGCCAGCAGTGCAGCTTTGTGAATGTGATTCCCAGCTCGGGACGCTTCAGCAGGGCCAGGTTGGCATCGTCCTTCGAGTCGAGCAGGTTCACTTCCTCCACTACGTTGAAAATGGTGCGTAGTTTGTTTCTGCAAACGGGGAGAGACAATTGACAAGGATTAGGCGAGATCATACACAGTTAATCGTTCAAATGTTTAGATGTTGGCAACAATGCTGGTTCTTCTCTATGTGGCTAAAATTCGGCGACTGTGTTAGGGAAACCACTTTTTTTCCCATAACGGAAACGCCTCGTTTTCTGATGACAGATTTATGCATTTTCGTGCACAAAATGCATTAAATTTTTGGTTTATTCAATAGATAACAAAAAAAAAAGCAACAACTGATTGGAGGAATTTCTTGCTAAAATTTTCCATTTGGGAGATATTCGCGATCAATCATATAGATTCGAGATTGTTTTGCCTTTTCTATCGCCCTGGAGAAGACCTTACCTTAATTCGAATTGTTTCTGGTTAGTTGACAAGGTCATGTGGTATTCGGACATTTTATGTACCACTTCAATACTGTTACGCATTTGACCACAAACATGTGTTTGCTAGGTAAATTATCAAAGTGCTTTGGGGGTGATGCGGCTAGTAACAAGGCGATCGAACGTTCAATGAAAATTAACTCTTAAACAACCGTTTTGTCGTGATGGTTGAGTAATGTTGAGCTATTAGGGTGTTCAACACGGATGAGACTGACGAGCTGTATGTTGTTTGAAACGAGGGTGACGCGCTTGGCATAGATGGCCCACAGCGGCTCACGACAAGCAACTGAATCCAATCAGTAGCGGTGCGACTGTTTCCTCATTTTTCGGTGAATGGATGCTCATGTGGGCTGCAGGCCGCTGCTTGCGGGCAGCCTTTAGTTGTGTACTGGAGTACAATGTTCAACTCTACGCGTCGAAAGCACTGCTGCTGCTGATAAGGACTGACCGGGCACCACCACACACGGTGATTGAATAAGCACCTTTCGGCGAGACCGGATGGAATTCGACTTTGAAATCTGTGTTAGGGAAAGTGCTTTTTGCAGCCCATCGGTGAAAATTTGGATCACCATTAGTTGCACATTTGAGTAATTTTCAATGGTGGTATCCGCTATTGACAGAGTTATACGTAATAAAAATTTGACCACTTTTCGTAACGCGATCGATTTTGGTTTTTTGATTTGGACTTTCGATCCGAAGCCCGGATTTTCAAAAACACTTTTAAATATTTTTTAAATCAGTCAACTGGTTCAGGAGATATGGCCGGAACATGTTCCAAAAAACATGGATTTTGGGAACTAAGGTTAGGTTACTTTATTAAAGAGACTTTTTATTTTTTTTATTTCTTTAATATGGAGATTTTTAGCCTATGACTAGTTCCAGGGTGGCAAGTGAATTTCCATTTTGAAATTCCTGGTTTTTTCCTGGTTTTAAAACCATGTATTTAAAAAAAAACAATTTTTAATAAAAAAAAATAAAGTGAATCCTTGTACCATCATTCTTCGCGCAATGCGGAATTTCACAAACCAAAATAGGTATTAAGGTTCTTGTGAATGCCCGTGAAATCTTTATCAGATTGTTTACTGTAAAGAAGCTAGTAGGGAGCCGCGCTACTTCGTCGTATCATGGCGCCTATTTCCGTTCTATGTGCTAAAACTATAATAGCAAAGCGTTTTCACTCATGTTTTTGCAAAAACATCTTTGCTTACAAGATTAATTACGATTGACACTGAAACATTTGCGATAACCCGTTAAGTGAGCGATTTTAGGGGTGTATGACGAAGAAAAGCTGAGATACGCCGGACTAGCGCGAAGCCCTATCTAATGTCTGAAATTTAGAAATCTATAAGCCCCTAAATCTTGAGATTTCTGTTTTTGAAACTGCGATTTTTTTAACTTTATTATTGAGATTTTTAGCCAACGGGCTAGTTTTTCTCAAGGTGAAATTGCGAAATGTGATATGAATGAGGACTCTTTAAACAAACCTTTGCTTCTAACAATTATACGGATTTGCAGAATGTTTAAATTTTCCGCAAATTGTCAACGATTAAGGATCTTATTTAGCGGAATTTTGATTACAACATGATTTCAAAATCATATGATTACAAAATTTCATAAACAACGCTGGTTTAATAACTCTTATTATTAAAAAGACTGACTGCTGAAGTTCATAGAAACTCCCTAAAGTTCGTAGAACTTCCCTGAAGCGTTAAGGTCTTTCCTGAAGGGTTCATGGAAGTTTGTATTGCCTGAATTTCATGGAACTTCCCCGAAGTTCGAAAGAATTTTTTTAAGATCTGAGGACTTCCCTCAAGTTCGGAGTTTTTTTTTATTCATAGGAATTTCTTAAATATCGTAGAAGTACCACGAAGTTCGTAGAAATTCTCAGAAGTTCGTAAAACTTCCATCAAGTTCGAAGAACTTTCTCGAAGATCTGAGGACTTCCCTGAAGTTTGAAGGACTTAGCGGAATATATGAGGACCCTAAATTTAGAAGAGCTTCCCTGAAGTTAATAAGGCTTTAAATATCGAAGGGTTTTCCAAAAGTTTGTGGGTCTTTCCTTAATTTCTTGGAAATTCCCAGAAGTTTGGAGAGCTCCCATGAATTTTGTAGGACTACCTGTAGTTCGAGCGACTTCTCGGAAGTTGTAGGAATTTTTTTGAGCTTGGAGAACTATGTTAAGTTCAGAGGACTTCCCAAGAGTATTGAAGACTTCTCTGAAGCTCGGGAAAAATCCATATGTGTCATAGGATTATCCTTAAGTTTTAAGCAATGCCTAAATGTCGTAGAAGCTACATTGAATATGTAGAAAATTTTGTAAAATTCGTAGATATTCCCCAAAGATTAAAGGACTTTCCTGAAGTTCGCAAGACTTCTCTGAAATTTGTAGAACTTCTCTGAAGGTTCGGAGAGATTTCCTGACCGTCGTAGGTCATCACAGTAGTTCACAGGATTTTCCTGAAACTTGTAAGGCTTTCCCGAATTTTGTACAACTTGCATGAAGTTCGAAGGCCTTATCTGAAGTTTTTCCAGAGATGAACCAGCATCTGGCTGAAAATCTCATTAATAAAAACAACCAACCAACCAACACCTTATCTGAAGTTTTTAGAAATAGAACTTTTTTATTGAACATGTTGAACAGGTACTTCAAAGTAGTTACGCGTCGGCACTGCTTAAGTCTGCTATCAATTAAGCACAAATCATACATGCAATTGATTCGAGAAAAAAAAAATTAAATTCAAAATAAATACAAAATATATTTACTAAATTCTCAGGGTAAATTTTGTTCATCAATGTTTAGTTGTGTGAAAGATTTAGCTTGAAAAAAAAATGGTTAGTTTTGACCTGATTATAAAAAGAAATTTTGACAAACATAAAATTTAAAACCTATTTAAATTATACTAACAAGATTATTTTCCTGATGGACTTATGAAATTCAACTAATATGGAAAAAATAACAATATATAAAATAGTGAAATAGAGGAACAACAGAAAACAAAATGAGTTAAAACAAGCTACAAACGAATAATCCAAACAAAACAGAGCTCAGCTGGCATGGGTCCAATAGGGGAAATCCATCCAGCTGAGATGTCCCGACGGCTGAAAGAAATTCCTGCTATACTGCCCATAAAAGCATAACTGTCCCATATGAATTGGAAATCAAGCAAAGATGGGACAGTTATGCTTTTATGGGCAGTATACCAAGTGGTAGATTTTGGCTTATTTTAAGAAGGTTACTAGTGCTGCCGAGGCCAGAGTATCACTCCCGAGCAGATCGCTGATGCTGGAAGATAGGCAGAGTGACTCCCGAATATTTTGGAACTCCGGGCAGTTGCACAGGATGTGTTCGACGGTGTATGATGCCCCACAGATAATGCAGCTTCTGCGGAACGGCAGGCCACCATAGTTATAGTAGAGTTTGGTGTGCCCGGTCCGAAGCCGCGAAATCACGCGTTGATCCCTCAGGTTGTCCAGGTCGCTCCATGGTTCAGTTGACCCTTTGACTTTGTGGATGAAGGCAGTTCTGTTGCGGAACCACTCGGCCTCCCATGCCGCTCGAATGGTCCGCATGATCCACCGTATGACGTCCTGCAGGGGTACCTTGTCGGTGAGTCTGGGACCCGATGTCCCGACTCCGGCAAGGTGATCAGCAGACTCGTTACCTGGTACTCCGCAGTGTCCGGGAATCCATGTGTACACGGTGTTCGGTGAGGTGTACTTGATAATCGCCTGGATCCATGCGTGTTTTGGTGCTTCCGAGGTGATCGCTTGAACGACGCTGTGTGAGTCGGTTAAGATAAGTATCGGTTTGCTGGCTGGCGTCGTAACGGCACGGAAGATCGCTGCAGCCTCGGCCGAGAAAACCGAGCACTGTGGAGGAAGACTGCTGCTTTCAGCAATACCGTCTCCGAAAATCCCGGTACCTACTTCGTTTATCTATCGGGAGCCGTCGGTGTACCGGTGTACGTGGTCGGCACAGTTGGACCCAAGTAACTCGGCGACCGATCTGCGCAAAATTACGGATGCATCCCCTGCTTTGAAGCGGTTCTAGATCCGATTGTCCAATTGGATTCGTGAAGAGTGCCAACTTTTCTCTCCATGCCAATGGACTTTGGCCACTGGGGGGAGGTCGATGTCGGCGTCAAGGAGAAAGATCCTATTGTTTCCGGAGGTCTTGCCGGAAAAGGCGGCGGCCTTTGTGGCAATATTTGCATTTAAGCAGAACCGGCAAGGAAGAAGACCCGCACCATCAGACCCGCTTCGATGCATGCGGCGTCTGCTGGAGTGGATGGCAGGAGACCAGATATGATGTGGATGTAGCTGTTGTAGGCCGGTGCTAGGGTGCTAACCATCTTCTCGGAAGCGATACAAGTAATTTCCGTCCCGTAAAGCAACCTACTGTCGATGATGGCTCGCGCTATTGACTCGGTGATGAGACGGACATACGTGGCATCGGATGCTCTTCCTAGCGGACAGCTGGAAACCCATTGAGTCGGTCCATTTGACGACGGCAGAGACTGCCGCTTGCGCTTGCCGTAGGGTTCGGATCTGTGTGGGACCGGTGGCCACAATCAGCACATCGTCAGTGTAAACAAATATGTA